AGTGAGCTGAGACAGCGCCACTGCACTCCAGCCCGGGCAACAGTGCGAGACTCAGTCTCAGAAAAAAAAAAAATAGATAGGTAGACAGACAGATAGATAGATAGGCCAGGCTCAGTGGCTCACACCTATAATCTCAGCACTTTGGGAGGCCGAGGTGGGTGGCTGCCATATTGCACTTCACAGGGTAATAGAATGGAGATGACAATGACACGGTGGAGATTGGGGTAAAGTGAAATGAGGGAAACACTTGCTGAGAGGTTAAAAAAAAAAAAAAAAGTAAGAGGCACCAAAAGACTTAGCAATCCAGATAAATGTCTTGATTATCTTATCATCGAGGTAAGATATATTGCATTGAACTATTATTTATTTTGATTACTGAAGGGTTCTGGAGGAGCACCCCCTGAAATTCGAACCTAGAGGACTGGCCTCACCCTAATCCTGGCTGTGGCTAACAATAATGCCCACCTCTTAGGGTTGTTGAGTGAATTAAATGAGATAATGCACGTAGAGCCCTCGGACCCAAGGCTGGCACTGGGAAAGGCACAGTTTATATTTTTTGACCTGGTTGTTCACCAGGCAGTCCCTGCCATCCCGCTTTCCGTCCTGCAGGGGGAGCATGACTGACTGAGTGTCACTATCGGATCTACGATACCTTCTTGCTTTTCTGAAATCAAATAAAAGAGACATAAACTCCCATCTCAGCTGTTGTGTTAGGAAGGAGGACGGGAATGGTAAATGCTGACGCTACAGGCGGCAGTCTGTGTCTCAGAGAGAAAATCTATCCCAACCTTGCTTGGGGCCTTGACGCCATCTTCCCCCCAAGAGCACCCCGCCAGTCACCCCGCCCTGTGGTGTCCTCCCACCCAGAGCCTGATCTTCCCCGTTCACGCCTGCCCCGGGCCAATAGCCTCCTAACGGCTATTGGATGCTCCAGTGAACCGTGATTGCACCACTGCACTCCAGCCTTGGTGACAGAGCCAGACCCTGTCTCAAATAAATAAAAATAAAAATAAAAGAAAGAAAGGGTGGAAACAGAAGTGGGTCCCATTGAACTTCAAGCCTTCAAGCTGCAGCCATGGCTGGACAGGTTGAACTAGCAGGCTGTAGCAGTCACCATCTTGGCAGGGATTAATGACCCTGATCCATTATCAGGAGGAGGGAGTTGTACTCTTATGCAGGGAGGGCAGGTGGAATATGTGTGAACTCTGGTGATCTGTTTGGGTGCCACGTGTTACTCCCAGGTCCACCTGTGACATGAATGGACAAGTGCAGGAATAATCTGATATTATTCTCTATTAAATAACGTGCACAAATTTCTGGATTTTTATTAAAAGAGCATATTCTCTGCTATGTGCAAATATATGATCTGAGAAATTCTGACCCGTGGACGTTAAAGTATAAAAAGGTTTCTTTGTCTCAGAACAATGTTAGAACAGACATCAACTCACTGCTTCTAGAAGAGCAGCCACTCCTTGATTTCACAAACTCAATAAACAGTCTCAGTTGTTGTTGTTTTTGTTTTTTTTTTTTTTTTTTTGAGACGGAGTCTCACGCTGTTGCCCAGGCTGGAGTGCAGTGGCGCGATCTCGGCTCACTGCAAGCTCCGCCTCCTGGGTTCACGCCATTCTCCTGCCTCAGCCTCCTGAGTAGCTGGGACTACAGGCGCCCGCCACCGCGCCCGGCTAATTTTTTGTATTTTTAGTAGAGACGGGGTTTCACTGTGGTCTCGATCTCCTGACCTTGTGATCCGCCCACCTCGGCCTCCCAAAGTGCTGGGATTACAGGCTTGAGCCACCGCGCCCGGCCTCAGTTGTTGTTTAGTATCATTAGGAAGACCACTATTTTGACAGAAGTTTCTAGAGCATGTCACAATGACATTGGATACCAAAGAAATGAGTAACAGGCTTGGTTATATGCAATGGCTACCCTCAACCCCCCAACTTCCTGTCCAGTCAAATTCCCTCTGACCTGCTCTCTGCATCTGCCTCTCCAGAAACAGGGCAGACACAGGATTGTCAAAAGTGCTTGCTTCCACCCTCTCCCCCTAAAGGTGACTCAATAAGCACTCCCTGCCCCGCCCAAGGGTCCCTACCACCTCTCCCTGGCTCTGGGTCCACTTTTCTATACCTTGGACATGGGCATAACATGTTACCCATGAGGCACAGGATGAATAGCAGGGGCAGCCCTGTGACCAGCTGCTGCAAGAGGGGCTGCTGTTTGGCTGGCTACCCTAGGGCAGCTCTATGCAGTACAAAACAGCAGGAGAGAGAAGAATGGCAAGTGGAGGGGGAGGCAGAAAATAACAAGAACAAATGCACATATATGATCGTGGACTTGGGTTTTCATTTCCTTATGAGGGCTCCCGTGTCATGTAAAACTTACATTGAGTGTCTATGCATTCCTCCTGCTAATCTATCTGATGTCAGTTTCAGTCTCAGACCCAGCAGGGACCCTAAGGGGATAGAGGTAAAGTTTTGCCTCCCCTACACAGTCATTGCCCACTCCCACCCTCATCTTGAGTTAACCTCTGATCTATTTTATGTCTACAGAGTTCCCTTTCCTGGCATTTCATATGAAGGGAATCATACTATATGTGGTCTTTTGTGTCTGACTGATGTCTTTCTCTGAGCGTAATGTTTCTGAGGTTCATCACCATTGTGGCATATGCCATTATGTTGTACCATTATGTTTTTTTCCTGAATATCACATTTTGTTTGTCCGTTCACCCACTGATGGACATTTGAGTAGTTTTCAGTTCAGAGCTGTTCAAATAATGCTGCTCTAAACATTTGCCTCTAAATCTTTATAAGGACATATGTTGTCACTTCTCTCGGCCTGCCTGCTCGTTACAGGTGTTTCAGGGATTCTGAAACATGTACTCCTCTTCTTACACAAAATACTATCTTTGTGTCATTTCTCCCAGTCCGTGGCTACTGGGGACCACTTGTATACTTCACCTCGATCACAGAAACAGAAGTCCAGTCTCTCTGTTTTCAAAGGCCTCGTTTGATTTTCTTTTCTTTTTTTTTTTTTTTTTGAGACGGAGTCTCGCTCTGTAGCCCAGGCTGGAGTGCAGTGGCCGGATCTCAGCTCACTGCAAGCTCCGCCTCCCGGGTTCACGCCATTCTCCGGCCTCAGCCTCCCGAGTAGCTGGGACTACAGGCGCTGCCACCTCGCCCGGCTATTTTTTGTATTTCTTAGTAGAGACGGGGTTTCACCGTGTTAGCCAGGATGGTCTCGATCTCCTGACCTCGTGATCCGCCCATCTCGGCCTCCCAAAGTGCTGGGATTACAGGCTTGAGCCACCGCGCCCGGCCTCGTTTGATTTTCAAAGAGATTTTCAACTAACTCTTTTTTTTTCCTTTTTCTTTTTCTTTTTCTTTTTTTTTTTTTTTGACAGGTCTCGCTCTGCGGCCCGTGGTGGAGCACAGTGGCGTGACCATGGCTCACTGCAACCTCGACCTCGCCGGCTCAAGTGACCCTCCACCTCATCCTCCTGAGTAGCTGGGACTACAAGCGCATGCCACCATGCCTAGCTTCATACGTACTTGCTTCCATCCTCTGCCCCTAATGGTGCCACGGACTCTGTTCTCAATAAGCACCCCCGGCCCATGGGTCTTTAGACTCAGCCTTGCTCACACGGATTCGCCATCTCCCTTCAGGCCTTTCTGCCTCAACTTGCTGATTCTGTATTTTATAACCCCAGAAAGTGTTCTAAGATACACTCAGCCACCAGCGTAGACATCTGGAGTTATAACTGTATCACTTGTTATCCAAATCCGTGTGGTCCCCAAGTTTCAGATATTGGTAGTGATAACTGAGGTCTTGAAAAACACATTTGCTTCTTCTCTCTCCCTCAGCCTCCCTCCTTCAGTCATCAAGTCCCAGAGCAGAATGCTTCCCAAACTCTGATGTGCATGTGCATTCTGGGGGAACCTTGTTAACATGCAGATTCTGACACAATCGGTCTGGAGCCAGTGATTCTGTACTTCTAACCCACTCACAGATGATGTCAATGGTGCTGGTCTGGGGACCACACTGTGAGCAGCAAGACTGTAGCAAGATGCTCCATCTCTACTAAATATCCTTTTTTAAAAGGGGCATATGGGCTTGGCGCAATAGCTCACGCCTGCAATCCCAGCACTTTGGGAGGCCAAGCGGGGAGGATCGCTTGAGGAGGAGTTTGAGACCACCTACGGCAACATAGGTAGACCTCATCTCTACAAAAAAAAAAAAAAAAAAAATTAAGAAAAATTAGCCAGGTGGGCAGGCATGGTGGCTCACACCTATAATCCGAGAATTTTGGAAGGCCAAGACAGGTGGATCACTTGAGGTCAGGAGTTCAAGACTAGCCTGGCCAACATGGTGAAACCCCATCTCTACTAAAAACAAAAAAATTAGCCAGATGTTCACGCCTGTAGTGCTAGCTACTCAGGAGGTTGAGGCAGGAGAATCGCTTGAACCCGAGAGGCGGAGGTTGCAGTGAGCCGAGATCACATCACTGCACTCCAGCCTGGGCGACAGAGCAAGACATCGTCTCAAAAAAAATTAACCAGCTGTGGTGATGCGCGCCTGTAGTCCCAGCTACTTGGGAGGCTGAGGCAGGAAGACTGCTTGAGCCCAGGAGGTCAAGGCTGCAGTGAGCTGTGATCTCTTCACTGCATTCCAGCTGGGATGGCAAAGTGAGACTGTGTATCAAAAAACAAAAAAACAGCCAGGCGCAGTGGCTCATGCCTGTAATCCCAACACATTGAGAGGCCAAGGCAGGTGGATCACCTGAGGTTGGGAATTCGAGACCAGCCTGACCAACATGGAGAAACCCTGTCTCTACTGAAAATACAAAATTAGCCAGGCGTGGTGGCACATGCCTGTAATCCCAGCTACTTGGGAGGCTGAGGCAGGAGAATCGCTTGAACTCAGGAGGCGGAAGTTGAGGGGAGCTGAGATCATGCCATTGCACTCCAGCCTGGGCAACAAGAGCGAAATTCCGTCTCAAAAAATAAATAAATAAATACATAAAAACCACACAGAAACAAAAAAGGAGCCATATGGAACACGAACTTTGCTGGCTGCTGCAGCCAAACAATCTCCCTTCCCCCACCAAGGCCACACAGATTGGCACAGTTCTGTTTCTGTTGCTATAAATGAAAGTTTTTGGTTGGTAACTGTGAAGAGGCCCAGGACGGAGAGAAAAGAATGGTGGGGCTGGGTAGCAGGTGGGGGTGGTGGAAGGAGTCAGAGAGGAGGCAAAGGAAAATAGGGAAACAAAATGGTATCTCTCTCCAAGCAGATCTCTTCAACTACCTGTGAAAACTGATGTGATGAAAAGGGGAAATTGAAGGAGCCATTCCAGAAGACAGGGCAAAAATGGAATCAGGGCCAAGAAAAACAGAAATAGCAGGACCTGGAGTTGAATAGGTGGAATAGTTGAGTAGGCTACTCTCCCCAGCTGGCAGGAAACCTAGCACCCTTCTGGTGTCCAAGGACTGAAAACTTTAGAAGCACCTGGAGTTGGCAGCCTTGGCATGGTCAGGTTGGCACCTCTGGAGGTGCCCAGGCTTCCCTGGTGGCATTGTGAGCAGTGGATGGTGTCGAAGGGCAGCCAGAGGAGGAATGGAACACATGCTCCTTGCTAACCACAGGGACAAGGCCACATTCACAGGTACACAAAGGTAGGTACACAAAGGTAGGTACACGATCAATCAAAGGTTTAAAAAACTGCCACAATACCAGAAGCCTCTTTTGCTTAAAAGAAAGGTTCAGAAATAGACCTAAGTATATATGAGGCCTTTATTATATGACAAAAGTGGCATCTCAGACTGATGAGAAGATGGGCTACTCCATATATGATGCTGAGGCAACTGGTTAGCCATCTTAAAAAAATAAAGTTGGATGTGTAACTGAAATCATAGACTAGGACAAGTAGGTTAGGGATGCAAATGCAAAAGATCAACAGTTCAAAGGCCAATGGGGAAAGGATCTGAGCAGTCACCTCACAGAAAAGAAAATAGAAGATCTTAAGCGTGCAAAAAGGTACATCACCTTATTGGTGTAAGAGATTCCACCAATTTTTTTTTTCTTTTTCTTTTTCTTTTTTGAGACAGAGTCTGGCCTTGTCACCCAGGCTGGAATGCAATGGCATGATCTCAGCTCACTGTAACCTCCACCTACTGGACTCAAGCCATCTTCCCACTTCAGCCTCACAAGTAGCTGGTATGACAGGCCTGCACCACCATGCCCAGCTAATTTTGGTATTTTTTGTAGAGACGGGGTTTCATCAATGTTGCCCAGGCTGGTCTCGAACTTCTGTGCTCAAGTGATCTGCCTGTCTCAGCCTCCCAAAGTGCTGGGATTACAGATGTGAGCCATGGCACCAGGCCTTTTTTTGTTTTTTCTTTTCTTTTCTTTTTTTTTTTTTTTGAGACAGAGTTTTGCTCTTGTTACCCAGGTAAGATCTCGCCTCACCACAACCTTTGCCTCCCAGATATTAGAAACAAGTATTTGGTGCCACAAAGAAAAACCACCACTTAAAGAATTTCTCAGCAAGGCACATTTACTTCTGCAGAAGCATACTGCTTGCATCTGACTGATCCCAAGAGCAGACCAAGCTGGGTAGAGCAGGGGTTTTTATCCCTAACGCAGTTCCTGTTTCTGTGTCCTTTCCCCATTGGCTGGAGTCAGACAGCACAGTCTAAGCTGACAACTGGCTAATGCTTGAAATTGGATAAGGCCAATTAGCCAGGAAGGGAGAGGCTGCCCATTACTAACTAGGCTGGAAGGGTTGTTTACAGAGTAAGAGGTTTGCTAGTTACCCATTAAGCAGAGAAACAAGTGCTCACTCCAGATTAAGCAGGAAGGGCTATGTACAGAGCAAGAAAGACCAAGGAAGCTTTGAAGAGGAACTTACTGTTTCTGGCAGTTTTCCCCCTCTTGACTTTATAGTTCTTCCTCTTCAAATTTCTCTAACATATTTGGCTTTGTTGCTTCTCTTGGTTGTCTAGAAGTAGTTGTTTATCTGAGTAGGGTGGGGGAGAATGGAGAGGGTTTTTTTTAAGAGCTGTTTCTATAAGCCTTTGCACAAATCCACAAATACAGGTATGACACAACCTACAAGAATGAGTACACTGGTAATAATTGCAAGGGAGGTAAAGATTGAGGTCATGAGTCCCTTCCATTTTCCAAACCATTTTTCCATGAGACCAGAGAACGGGTGTTCAAGTGATTCTCCTGCCTCAGCTCCCTAGTAGCTAGGATTATGGGCATGCGCCACATGCCTGGCTAATTTTGTATTTTTAGTAGAGATGGGGTTTCTCCATGTTGGTGTCAGGCTGGTCTCAAACTCCCGACCTCAGGTGGTCCACCTGCCTTGGCCTCCCAAAGTGCTGGGATTACAGGCATGAGTCATCGCACCCAACTTGCTAAAAGATCTAATCCCAGCTACTCAGGAGGCTGAGGCAGGAGAGTACCCTGAACCCGGGAGGTGAAGGTTGCAGTGAGCCAAGATCATGCCATTGCATTCCAGCACTCCAGCCTGGGTGACAGAGCGAGACTCCTTTTCCAAAAAAAAAAAAAAAATCTGTTTTTTGGTAGAATCTGGGTCTCCTTATGTTGCCTAAGCTGCTTAACCTGTGTCTCAAGGTTTCCTTCTGTAGGTAACCGTTGCGAGTTTGTAATGAGGAGAGCACTTAGCACACAGCCTAGGCCAAACAGTAAATGCTTCCTATTGTATTGTCTGCAGGCAACACAGTTGCTCAGGTGCTTCCGTATCACAGCCAAGACCCCTTTGGGGGAAGCTAGTTGGATACTCGGATCCACATTGCAGACTACTAAGCCACTGTCGCCCCTCGGCTCCGTTTCTGCTCCCTCCACCCCAAGAGGTAGGCATTGGTGTTCCCACCTCCCAGGTGGGGAAGCTGAGAGTCCAGAGGTTAAGTAGTTTGTCCCCAGTCCCCACCGATAGGGCAAGGAGCGGGGCAGGGCTGTGACCCCCAGGGCGGCAGCCCCCTCAGGGCGTGATCTCACAGTTGGACTTCTCTCTGCTGCCCCGGGAAGCGGGTAGGGGATGGCCAGGGCTTATTGGTTCTGCTTTTGCCTCCTACCCAGCCAGACTGCTTAAGCTCCACTCTTGACAGGAATGGCTTTCCTAAAAGAACTCGGACCACTCTCCTCCAACGTCCTTCCGCAGACACCTCGTGACGCCCACGCCCATTTCACTTGGTCACTGTCTTGACCCCGGGTGGGTCCATCGGCTCATTACAACCTAATTTTTGTATTTTTACTAGAGACAGTGTTTCACCGTGTTGGCCAGGCTGGCCTGGAACTCCTGTCCTCAGGTGATCCGCCCTCCTCCACTTCCTAAAGTGGACAAGGACAGCATCTCTTTTTGCTGTCCTTTGACAAGCGCGGTGGCTCACGCCTGTAATCCCAGCACTTTGGGAGGCCGAAATGGGCGGATTACCTGAGGGGTTCGAGACCAGCCTGACCAACATGGAGAAACCCCCGTCTCTACTAAAAATACAAAATTAGCCAGGCGTGGTGACACATGCCTGTAATCCCAGCTATTCAGGAGGCTGAGGCAGGAGAATCGCTTGAACTCGGGAGGCGGAGGTTGCAGTGAGCCGAGATCGCCCATTGCACTCCAGCCTGGGCAACAAGAGTGAAACTCTATCTCAAAAAAAAAAAAATTTTTTTTAAAAAGAAAGAAAGAAAGAAAGGAGATACAGTGTGCCCCATGAGATGCTGAAAGGGACTCACCTCTTTTGAGACTAAGCATTTAAAGCTGTGGCTCTGTTTGAAATGGAATGATTAGGAGAAAATGCGTTCTTAAAGAAATACACAGCAGTGCTGGCCAAATAAATACTGTATGTGGAATGCACTGGGAGAAGGCCATGTCCATCTTGATGTGAGGACTTTTAATGCCTTGATTGTACTTGCCTGTATTATTCTATGTTGTCAATGTGTTTTCTAATACCAGGTCCTCCATGATAAGTTGCTCCCGACCAAGAAGTATTGCCCCAGCTGCAAAGAGCCCTGATTCTCAAATGTGGTCGTGATCATGGTTACTGGTTGGCCCATATGAGAAAGTTTAAAAAAAAAAAAAAAAAGACATTGTCAGACTCTTTATTCTATCTGCTGAAGTGGCCTTCTTTTTATAGGATGGGGGTGGAAGGCCGCCTTCCATGGGTGTGTCCTCCACGATGACCTACCTGATAACAAAGGTGCATGGATTTCAGATTGGCCTACAACAGCATTTGGCTTGTGGAGACAGTGGTTCCCTGGTGAAAAACTGCCATGATGTAAGGAACAGCCCGTCAGAGCGAGGCTGGGGTGCTGCGTGTTGGGGAGAAGCTCCACCCGCTGGCTGAGTCTGGCACATGAACCAGTCTGTGAGCGGATGGATGTGGGTGTAATGGGGGCAATTACACTAGGAAGGAGCCCACATGGAGCCTGCATTCTCTGGGACAGGCCAAGACCCAGATCCTACCTTCCCAGGTGGCTGGATGGGTCGTAGATGTACGAACCGGACCCCTCATTTTCTGATTGCCCTGTGCTTAACGTTTCTGTACCTTTACCGAGGCTCTTTCCTTGGACTCCAGTGCCCAGACCCCTCCTTCTCCTGAACATGAATGCCTGTCCATGGAAATTCGAGTCTCTGTCTCTCACCCAGGCTGGAGTACAGTGATGCAATCTCAACTCACTGCAACCTCTGCCTCCCAGGTTCAAGTGATTCTTGTACCTCAGCCTCCAGAGTATCTGGGGTCACAGGTGAGCACCACCTCGTCTGGCTAATTTTTTGTATTTATAGTAGAGATGGGTTTCAACATATTGGCCAGGTTGGTCTGGATCTCCTGGCCTCAAAGTGATCTACCCACTTGGGCCTCCCAAACTGCTGGGATTACAGTTGTGAGCCACCATGCCCAGCCTGTCCCTGAAATTCTATTGAAATGTTCGATAAAGTTGTTTTGGTTTTGTTTTTGTTTTCCCTTGTTGGCGAAGCCTGGTGTCTCTATTTTAGTGGACTTGCCTGGCACTGAGGACTGCTATAGTGGTCTTCAGAGGCTCCTGGTATCAACTGCTTGTGAAACCGCTTTTGCAAAATTATGACTGAGACAGTGAAAGAGATCTAACTTAACCAACCCAATCTTTCTTTTAACTTCCAAATTGTCCTTTTTCATTCCTGAGCATAGCCTGAACTAACTTTGGGAGAAGCTTGGTTTATATTTTATTTTATAGTTTAAAACAAAGATGTTAACAGCCCTTTCCCAAGGCAGACCTCCTTCTTGCCTGGGGACTAGATTGCCTTTGGAGGACTATCATTAGCCACAAGATTAGAAATTATGGGCCAGGCTCACCCCTGTAATCCCAGCACTTTGGGAGGCCACGGCAGGTAGATCACCTGAGGTCAGGAGTTCAAGACCAGCCTGGCCAACGTGGTGAAACCCCATCTCTACTAAAGAATACAAGAATTAGCCGTGTGTGGTGGCACATGCCTATACTCCTAGCTACTCAGGAAGCTGAGGTGGGAGGATTGCTTGAATCTGGGAGGCGGCATGGAGGTTGCAGTGAGCCAGGATCTCGCCACTGCACTCCAGCTTGGGTGACAGAGTGAGAGTCTGTCTCAAAAAAAAAAAAAAAAAAAGTTTAGAAATTATGGTTTAGGAGTCATGCCGCTGGAGGCTACAAGATTCTGACCCTCCCTAAACCGCTCCTAAGATCAGTGCTTGAAGTATTTTACAGACCCCGCACTTGATGGATCAGCTGGCACCACCCAGATCAATTAACTGGCTCATCTGATCTTGTGGCCCCCACCCAGGAACTTAATCAGCACAAGGAGACAGCTCCAATTCCCTATGATTTCATCCCTGACCAATCAGCACTCCTGGGTTCACTGGCTTCCCCCCACCCACCAAGTTGTCCTTAAAAAGTCTGCTCCCCAAATGCTCGAGTAGACTGATTTGGGTAATAATAAAACTCTGGTTTCCCACACAGCCAGCCCTGCGTGAACTACTCTTTCTTTTTTTTATCTTTTTTGAGATGGAGTTTCACTTTCGTTGCCTAGGCTGGAGTGCAATAGCAGGATATTGGCTCACTGCATCCTCCGCCTCTCAGGTTCAAGCGATTCTTCTGCCTCAGCCTCCCCAATAGCTGGGATTTTAGATGTGTGCCACCACACCTGGCTAATTTTTGGTATTTTTAGTAGAGACAGGATTTCACCATGTTGGCCAGGCTGGTCTCAAACTCCTGACCTTAGGTGATTCACCCGCCTCGGCCTCCCAAAGTGCTGGGATTACAGGTGTGAGCCACTGTGCCCAGCCAAATTACTCTTTCTCTATAGCAATTCCCCTGTTCTAATGAATCAGCTCTGTTTAGGCGGCAGGCAAGGCGAACCCATTGGGCATTACACTTGGACAGAGGTGACATCCCCCAGGTCGTGAGAGCAAAGAACTAATGCTACAGCTGTCTTCCATGTATCTACCACTCACTGTAGAATGACCCCGAAGTTCTGCATTTCTTCTCTGTGTAGGTCAGGCACAAGAAGCTTCATCTCTTATCCCATGTCTGATTCCCGAAACCTTGCTCATTTTCCTACCGTCCTCCCTATTCCCAGCCTCCTTTCTTCTTTTGCTCTATCCTCCCCTAAGGACACTGATTACTTTCCTTTCTCTGTTGGTTCTCCCCACCCCTCATTCCATTGTGCCTTGTACCCATACTGCCCCATACCTCTCTTTATTGCTGTCATCTGTCCTGGTGGCCAGTCACTCTCATGCCAACACTTACTTATTCCTTGAAGGTTTTAGCTCCTGACTCACTTTCCAATATAACTTCTGTCACCAATTGACACCCAGTTCCCCAGTTCCTTGACCTAGGCCTTACCTACCCCAGCCACTCACTTCCCTGGTCTAAGTCTAGATCTTGTCATTGCCGATGCCATAACGCCATCCACCATCCACTTCCAGGGTCACACTCTCCAATCACCTTCTACCATCCCTCCCTCTGTTACTCTGTGGTACATGTTACTCCACTCCCCCACCCCCCATACCCTTTCGTGTTTCTTTACTCTTTAATTCTTACACTTCTTTTTTTCTTTTTGAGACGGAGTCTCAATCTGTCGCCCAGGCTGGAGTGCAGTGGCACGATCCTCTCACTGCAACCTCTGCCTCTCAGGTTCAAGCGATTCTCCTGCCTCAGCCTCCTGAGTAGCTGGGATTACAGGCATGCACCACTATGCCTGGATAATTTTTGTATTTTTAGTAGAGACACAGTTTCACTATGTTGGCCAGGCTGGTCTTGAACTCCTGACCTCATGATCCACCCGCTTCAGCCTCCCAAAGTGCTGGGATTAAGGCGTAAGCCACTGCGCTCAGCCTCTTGAAGACTCTTAAGTCATTTTTGGGAATCAATGAATTAACTACAGATTTCCCAGGATGATGAAACAGCAAGTCATTTCAAGATGCAAAAGAAGTAAGACCGCTAAGATCCCACAATGTATCTTGGATTTTGGGAAAGAGAAAAGCAGCCCCAGAAGTGGGTCTGGGATTCACAGCCAGGCCATACCCCATGTCCTGGCTAATAGCATCGACTGCTGCTACTTTAGCCAGTTACGGCTTTGGCCTTCCTCTACTCTTCCCTCCTTCTTGGTGAGATGTGTTAAGATGCTCAATCATAGAATTACCCCCACTTCCTGACAGCATTCCAGAGGAAGGACTCCTCAAATCACCTAACACATGCCCAAATCCTATAATAAACCATCCCTGACACCCTCTTACTGATTCGCCCCACAGTTCCCCGTGGCACACAAAACGTTCTCCCTCAAAGCTAACTCATGTCATGATAGTTGTGTTCCTGGTGGCCTTTGGCTAGATGGTGCTGACAGGTTAAAAGAGGGCCTACCAATAGATCTATACAGTCACTGCAAGACAGAACAAGTTTTATTCTGTTTAAAAAGGGAAGAAAATGGTCGAGCGTGGTGGCTCACGCCTGTAATCCTAGAACTTTGGGAGGCAGAGGCAGGCAGAACACTTCATGTTAGGAGTTTGAGGCCAGCCTGGCCAACATGATGAAACCCTGTCTCTACTGGAAATGTTGCAGGATTTGGGAGGACAAGAGAGACCTCGGGTTGAAACAGGAGAATCTTTATTGAGTGCACTCAGGCCCAGGGAACTTAACATCCAAAAGACTGAGTCTGGAACAAAGACAGCACCTGACTTTTATACATACTTCACAAAAGGGGGTGGGCTAGCTTGAAGCAAGCTTACAGCGGCGTGAAAAGCAGGGATACAGAGGCAGGACAAAGACAGGATTGCACATGACTGTTGCCAAGCAACCCAGATGTTTGTTATCTAGGTTTGTCTGGGCATGGACTTATCCTATAACCTTCGCTATGGTGCCCAGGCAGCTGTAGTTCAGGCCTACTCAGGCTTCTCATGACCTTAATTGTACTTCTTAGATAAAATAGAATACTTGCAGTCACTAGTTACATGTAGGCGGAAACCTACCCAGGTGCCGAGGCAAGACACTGAGGGCACAACCTGTTCCAATAGAATAAAGAAAATAGTTAGAATAAGAAAAGTTATATTAGAAATAGGATATAGAGCCGGGTACGGTGGCTCACACCGATAATCCCAGCACTTTGGGAGGCTGAGGCAGGTGGATCACAAGGTCAGGAGATCAAGACCATCCTGGCTAACAGGGTGAAACCCCATCTCTACTAAAAATACAAAAACAAAAAATTAGCCGGGCATGGTGGCAGGCGCCTGTAGTCCCAGCACTCGGGAGGCTGAAGCAAGAGAACGGCGTGAATCCGGGAGGTGGAGCTTGCAACAAGCTAAAATTGCGCCACTGCACTCCAGCCTGGGTGACAGGGTGAGACTCCATTTCAACAACAACAACAAAAAAATAGGATATAGAGATGATTATATATGGATATCATCAATCATTAGTTTTTAGTATTAATCTCTGTATTATTATTATAACCAAGGATACAGCCAATACAGAGTCAGGAGCTGAAGGGACATTGTGAGAAGTGAACAGAAGACAAGAGTGAAAGTCCTCTGTCACGCCCTGATAAGGGCTGCTTGAGGACGCCTTGGTCTAGCGGTAGCGCCAGTGCCTGGGAAGGCACCTGTTACTTAGCAGACCGGGAAAGGGAGTTTCCCTTTCCTTGGGGGAGTTAGAGAACACTCTGCTCCACCAGCTCTTGTGGGAGGCCTGACATTAGCCAGGCGTGCCCATAGTTATCTGGAGGCTTAAATGTCTCCCTGTGGTGCTGTGCTTCAGTCGTCATGCTCCTTGTCCACTTTCATGTTCCGCCTGTACACCTGGTGCCTCTTTTAAGTTCCTAGAAGATAGCAGTAGCAGAATTAGTGAAAGTATTAAAATCTTTGATCTCTCTGATAAGTGCTTTAAAAAAACGCTGACATATGCTGTCCTCCCCCTCTGCTTCAACTACCACAAAGGGAAAGGCCCCCTGTCTAGTGGACACATAACTTGCTTGACCTTATCAATCACTTGGAATGACTCACTCTCCTTACTCTGCCCCCTTGCCTTATATTCAATAAATAGCAGTGCGTCCAGGCATTCGGGGCCACTACCAGACTCCGTGCATTGGTGGTAGCGGCCCCCTGGGCCCAGCTGTCTTTCCTACTATCTCTTAGTCTCATGTCTTATTTTTCTACCAACTCTTGTCTCTGCACACGAAGAAAACAACCCGCA